GGAGGGAAAAAATGGTATCGGAACGTCTCTAGTTTCTATGTGCATGCATGTATGCTGGGTGTTACGATGGAGCTCAGAGGCTGCATGGAGGACACTGTTCCTCAGAAGGGGAAGTGGGCTGGACAGGCTGCGATGATGGAGCAGTAGATGAGTCCTGGCTGTCCAATAGGAAGCCTGGGTTTAGCTGAGGGGCAGGCTCTGGTTCAGCAGGGGTCATCTCTGCCTGAGCCAGTGCCTGTGAGGATGAGTGGGAGATGGAGGAGGTGGGGAGCATGTCCAATGCGTCAGAGGAAGAGGAAGAAGACGAGGGATGATCTAAGGGCGACTGGTTCTTAGATTCAGTCACAAGTGGGGAAGGATCAGAAGAAGAAGATGATGATGAAGTCTTGACCAGGTGCTGAGGAGCAGAGGGTACACCAGAGGGTACACCAGAGGAGGAGGAGGAGGTTTCTCCAGCTGACATGACAGGTCCATTATCTCCCTCCTGCTCTCCTGTTCCCTTCTCCTTCCCATCATCTGGAAGTGCGCCATCTTTCTGATTCTTACTGGAAGCGGCTTCGTCCTGCCCTGCAGGGCTTTGATTGGCTGCAGGGGCGTCTTGGTTGGGGACAGCGGTGGTTGGTGATTGGCTCTTGAGTTGCGAGTGACAGAGGGGGCATGTCTCCTGGACATAAAGCCATTTCTTCAGACAGCCAGCGTGGAAGAAATGACTGCATGGAGTGATCACAGCGCTGTTCATGTCCTGGAAGGAATAAGCAAAAATACACACACAGGCTGTTTTGTTATGTTTCCTTTTGACATTTCATTCGTTTCAAAACCACTTAGGCCAACGTTAACATGTATCAAATTCACTTTAGCATGGCTTTAACCAGGAGCCTGAAATTAATTCTTGGCCATGTACTCTCTTTAGATTAAACACAAAAACACAAAACCAGCTCATACCTGGTAGCAGATAGCACAGATGTCGTTGTACTGTTCCAGCTGTGTGTTGCTAGCCGTTGGGAGGCTTTTGATCTTGTTTACAGCATCTCTCCTGAGCAGGAAGCTCTGCCAGCCCAGCTGGGCTCTGAGCCAGACGTTATAGTATGAGTGGACCAGGATGATGGTGCTTCCCATCACACTCCACTCCCCAAATACCGTCTCTGACACGCCATAGCACACCACACACACCGCAACCTGGCAGGGGACAAAACCAGCAACAGTTAGGTAGCGATAACATTTACACTCCCTCATGATACTGTACATTGTGTGTGCATGTGTGACACTCACCAGGAACTCCAGCAATCTGTAGGTCCCATTGACACAGTAGATAACTTCATCCATATTTTCTACTGGAGCCTTACGAAACTCCTCCACCATGAAGAGAATGTAGATCAGCAGAGTACCGAGGACCTGCGGGGTGATAGCGGAGCATGTCTTAGCATTTTGATGCAATTCAGTTAAATAATTAATCACGAAGTATAGATGCTTAAGGCTTTTCAGGCACAGTGGAAAAAACAGGAGTCTTTTTATAGGCACTGTATGTGCATGCTGTGTATATGTGGGTGTGTGTGTGAGCTGCTACTGAATATGCTTGAGTGTTACCTGCAGTGAGGTGAGGATGGAGGAGGAGATGATGATGAGAAGCCAGAAGTCCATGTGGAAGAACTGGCAGATCATATAGGCCATGTAGGCTGGAAAGATCAGCAGAAACAGGCACAGAGACACCGCTCTGAAGTGTTTCCACAGACTCCTAAAAAGGACAGAGGAGACGAGGGAAGAGAACACGTTTAGCTTCATCTGTACCAACATGGACATTTTGCTTACGTACCAAAGCATTAGCTGCCTTCTGAGATAAAAATAAACAAATATGTCCACTAGTCTTTACCTTTGGCACAATGCCAAAAAACACTGAAAGTTGAACATCTAAGCAGAAATCCAGTTTCAGAAAAAAAAAATTACAACTTAAACAAAAATAAATAAAATACAAGATGTGTGTAAATGTATCTTACTTGTCTCTGGAAGCTCCCAGGGCCAGGACTATTGGATCAGCTATCTCCAGCATGGACTGCAGGATGGAAGCAACAACAATGAAGAGGATGATGGAGAGGAGGAAGGCTCGGTGGATGACCTGAAGCTCGATGAGGCCAGTCTGGACAGCGAGGATCAGCAGAGTGATCCCTTCTGTCATCCCCCTGCGTAGAGAGAGAGGAGACAAACATGCAAAGTGATTAAAAGTATAGCCACATACCGCCAGACACCCCCAACCACACACGCAAACGCACACACATAGACAGACAGACAGACAGACGCACTGACTGACCTGTGCATGGTGTTGTCATTCATAAAGGCCCTGTAGCCTTGAAGGTAGAACTTGCAGAGTGTGAGAACTCCCAGAGCAATGAAGGAGACGGTGAAAACCAGACCCAGCAGGGAGTATGGTGTACTACAACATTCTGCAATACTGAGGACAGGGAGAGAGGAAGAGAATGTAAGAGCAGAGTAAAGGATAGCTAGTATATGATTATTTGCTCAACATAAATTCTGAAAATCAAACTGCTGTTTCAGCTAACTGGATCACACCAGAAGATATAATGTGCTGATCTGGCTCCTATAATCTGAGAGAGGTTCAATCAATAGCTAAACACTGGTACAGGTCATGCGCTAAGTCGTGCTGCCAGGAGTTTTAGCATCGTCATTCTATCTGCAGAAATACAATGAAAGGTAATGTCAGTTGGCCAGTCCAAGACAGGGTATGTTCACAGTTACTGGTAATATGACATTTACTGCTATTGTACTGTGTGTTTCTGTATTTATCTTAAATAATCACATCCACTATCATGAAGCCTGAAGAAATTATACCCATGTTTATCTCCATCCCAGTTTAGTTAAACAGTAGTTTAGTACAGGGCCTATGCCCCACAAAATATATGAGGCAATAAATATACAAAGCACATTATAAAGAGATGAACAATCTAGGAAGTCTGACCAGTGCCATGGTACCTGGTAAGAAACAGGAAAAGGAGCCTCTCTCTTGAGGTAGGCTGGTCTCTGGTGCTGAAGTAGGAATAGATTTGCAAAGCAAACAGCAGTAGCCAGAAACACATGAAAAGAACTGGAAGGACCAGCTGGTTCCATAGAGACATTCCCAAAGCTAGCAGCCCGTACACTTCCACCACCTGAGGGACAGACAGACAGAGAGACAGAGCGAGAGAGAGAGACGCAGAGGTGGAGAAGAGAAGAGATGGAGGTAATTGGAACAAAACTCAGAGTGACATTAATATCACATGAGGTAATCTCACAGGACCACTATAGCCGAAATCCTGTAATTGCAACATTACCTGAGCCAGCTCCCTGTAGGCAGTCTTGGCCAGGTTGTATGGTACCAACAAGTTAGAAGCCAGGAAGTAAATGACCTCCAGGCCTGTGAAGATCATGGAGAACTTATTGATGAAGACGATGGTCTCCAGCGGGACCAGACACAGTCGGGCCACCAGAGGGAGGAGGTGAGCAGAGAAAAGCCAAATCCGCTTAGTCTGCATCACACAGGAACATAGCGTACACACCACTAGCTGACCTGAAAGAAGAGGAAATAAGATGAACGTGAGAGAACATGCACATACACACGTACACAAGCACAGATGTACACACATGAAGATGTGTGCACTGTTGCAAATGTGGTTTTGGAACTGCTTTTGCAGATGCATGTCTGTAAATGTGTCTAGTTGAGACCTGAAATAAAAGAGTCGTCTGAAAATGTTTTGATCTGTCCCAAAGTGGTGACAATTTGTCAGCTACAAAAGCCAAACAAACATTCAGAAAGAAAGAAATTATTTTGTGAGTCCACTTTCATATTTAGTAGCTTTAATCTCCCCCTCTACAGCAGTATATCTTTGTCACTGTAACCATGTTATTTTCACTTTCTCAGGCTTTCACTGTGCAGTGAAATCAGCACTCAAGTCTATTTATAGCGCAAGAGACTCCACATCTACTCTCCAGTAAGATGAAACCAGGTCCAATGGACCCAGAAACAGAGCAACTAGTAACATTTTCCAGTTCGATGCAGACTACCTTTCATAGTAGCAGGGGTAGTTGGTTATCAGTAACATTAAAGGGACCTTAGGGCATTGTTTTTAATAAAGCCAAGAGATTTTAAGCAATACTCTATTAGCCCGCTACGGATGCTGATCTTTTTCTTCCACCCACTCTACAGAAAGATTGCGACACAGAAATGTTACAGAGCTGCAACTCTGGTAGGAGTTAAGTGCCTTTCTTAAGGAGGATGAATTCTTGCTGTCACAGAGACTTGAGTTGAAATGTAGTACCTTGGTTCACAAAGATAAGTGGAAGCAGGAGATACAAAGAGGAAGAGTATCCTGTGAGCTCAGACAGGAGCGGCTGAACTGCATCCACCTGCCTATGTTTGGGTTTGGGCATGCTGCATTCATGCCTTGTCATGTATACTATACAAGTGTGTCTTCATTATAATCATTGTAATATTATACCTATGAGTGCAGTGGTGAATCTGTTCATGGAGAGAGGTTCCAGGTAGACAGGTCCTTCATAGCCAGACTCCAGTTCACTGCGGACATAATCCCTGACAAAAAGAGGTCAAAATGCTCAATTTACAGGGAAATCTATTGTGGCTGATTATAAACCACTGACCTATGGCTCAACACAAAGCTAGCCATTCACCTGAACTAGCACAAGGAAAACTCACAGCTAGCTATGGATATATTGTGTGGGTAAATGCATTGAAAAAGATACAGCACATTATATTGTACAGTGAATGCTCACTATGGCTTAAATGAATGTTGTGTGTTTGATACAACCACCCATACTTTTATGTTTTAAGTATACATTCGATTCAGAAATAAGAAACAATATACAATAAATATCATAATACACAATATCATTTAAGACACTCACTAGAGTAACAGAACATGGGATAGCTAGTGGATGTATGTATATGATAAAGATGATTACTGTGTACCTTGAGACTTGGTGACCAGCAAACAGCAGAAGGGCCGTAAGGACATACAGGTAGAGTTTAACCAGGTGCTGACGAGGCAGAGTCAGAAGTACCAAGCTCAGGATGTATCCTGTAAGGTAGTCACACACAAACAACCAGTATGAGACCATCAACAAAAACAGAATCAATACATGCAAATTGTTTGCAAAGAACAAAAGCAATATACTTGTGTGTGTATGTGTGTGACAGATGTTTCTTATATAATTGTAGGCTATTTTTGACAATCAAATAGTCACAGCTGCCGCCTGGCTTATTGTACAACAGTTCACTACCTAAAACAGCCCAAAAAAGTCCACAGTGCATAGCAACAGTTACTTTCGTTTTACTGCCTCTCTCTCTCTCCCCCTTCTATTCTGTCTGTCCACCCACCACGCTCATCAGCACATACCAAGCCTATTGGCTCATTAACCAGCTGCAGCCAAGTCTGACAGCACGCAGTCACAAACACAGACATATTAAAAACACACACAGAAAACTCACGACTGTGCTTTTCTGTGATTTCAGCTAGCTGTTTGCTTTTAGCTACCTCACAGTCTGACCATGAGACTTTGCAGTGTCAACGTCACTGCTACTGTCTTTCAGTGCTTCTGTGTCACTGAAAATACCACTGACTGGCTCCCCATGCAGCAAAGACCTTTTGCAAATGAATAACACCTGTTAAAAGGATGTGTCATTACTTGAATCACATGATACACAGCAGTTGAGAAAGACTAACAATACACTTGTTAACATATTCGCTAATCGACATATAAGTAGAAAAGACTTGTTACAAAACTGGCAACCATCCAGTTTAAGTTCAATCCACAGCCATAGCAAGGAAGAGTGTTCTTAAAGTCACATTCGCTGCATTGGGGTAATGTTTTAGAGTTAATCACTTCACTACCTTCCAACCAACCAAGAAGGAAAAGCATCCTAGAGCGACTAGGCTGAAGACGTGCTGTCTAAGACACAGTGCTACTCGGTATCCCTCAATTCACAGTCCAGGATTACAATAAAACACAAGAAAAAGTCACACAGCCTTCGCCTCACTCTGGAAAAACTTCCGACAAGAAACACCAGCAGTCTTGTAATAGAAAATACAAACTGGTCCACTTATTATCCCAATTTGTACCAGCTGTGATTTTGGGTCCTGTGACTCGCCAGCGTGTCGTTTTAATGAGTTACCCTGTTAACTGCAGACTTTCAACTGTGAACTAACTGGCGACTTTATCCCGTTGTACCACCTTACTGTACCGCTGTACTTTAATTTGCAAAAGCAAAAAATAGCAGTAATACTGCATACGAGCTGTTGAGCCACCCTAAAGCACCGCCGAGGAAACTCCTCTGCCGCAACGACCCTACTTCACTAGCAGTTCTTCCGACTAGAAGGTATTTGGGGGGACCGTGTGAAGCCCCACTAACATTACTCTCTTCTACTGAAGCTTTTTACTGGCAGGTGGAATTTGTTAAAGCAACATTGAGGGAAAAGTTGGAGTTGGAGACTCTCAGAAAAGCTTTTTTGTGTGTTATGTTTTAGTTTTCTTGCTCCAGCTGAATCACTTATTTCTGTTTGACAGAGCTACCTACAACTTGACACTGGTCTCACATCAATTCTGACCGGTACAGCTGACTCACCCTGCCAGAATGCCACTGCTGGGGCAAAAAAACACGACTGGAAGAGGAAAACCGGTTTCAGGCAGCATCCCTCTTTGTTATTTTACCACTGGGTAAACCAGATAGTTTTGGCCAAACCCCACTTGTTTTCGTGCCAAACAATGGCCCCCAACTGTCCCGAAATCACTAGAAAGCGCAGCCTCATTAATGCTACTGTGTGAGCACTTTGAGGCTGACGGTTAGGTATAGAGGGGTGACATTGCTGAATGAAAAATAGAAGAGAAGAAAATCATGCAAATCCAACTAAGAGAAGTAACACTGTGACTCGTGGAACCTGGCCAACTGATAAAGCTAGCCTAACAGGAGCCACTTTAGCTGATAGCCCAGTTAAATAGCTCAAACAAAACACCTACAGCAGGTCATGATAACATAACTGATAACACTGATATGTCAACGGCTACAGCTCTTTATACATGTGTTCATTATCAAACGTGTAAAATGCTGTGTAGTGCAAACAGCGCAGGGCATTTATATAATGTGTTTGCTTTACAGTCATCCTCTAAGAAATGTAAATGCAAGAAGAATGCATTTTTTTCTGGAGCAGACTGTTTCTGTCTGTGTGTGTTTGTGTGTGTGTGTGTGTGTGTGTGGGAGAGAGGAAGAGACACCAACACTGACCTACGTAGTGCAGGTAGAGTGCCAGGTATTTGTACTGAAACAGGGGGTTGTTGGAGAGGCTGGAACGCTGGATCTTCTGGAAGAAGGAGCTGACGTCCCAGCGGTACAGGACATCCAGTAGCATGATGCTGGGAACACGCAGACCCACATTGAGCACCGCCTCTACGCGGTCCTTCACTGCCATGGCCTCAGCTTAATCTCTGACCGGCAGGCAGAACTGACCACTAAGACGGGATGTTAACAGTGGGCGTACTGCAGAGAGAGAGAGAGAGAATGCACACAGAAGATGGAAATTTAATAGGATGCAGGGGAGATAAGAAGCAATTACAGAGGATGAGGTCAAGAAATCAAGGAATCTAAAAAAAAAAAAAGCCACACTTGAAAGCTCTTGGTGCAGTTAGCAGAAATGGTGAATGGGAAGAGTGCTTCTTCATCTCGCTCCTCTCAATTTCACAGGTTGTCATTCGGAGTGAAGGAGGCAACAATATTTTGATGCACTGTTTTTTTTTAGCAGCCAGGACACACTGCATGTGCAGCCTGCGTGTGTTGCGAAATGTCCTGCTTTTTTCGGGGATTTGGGGATACTGGAAACACAACCCTGGAAAAACAGCTCGTCTGGAGTAAGACTTAACTGCTGAGATTCAATGGGAAAACCCCAAGGTTGTTCCAGTTCCAAAAGTGAGATTACAGTACACTTTCTTACACAAAGCCATGTTAGCCCAAGAAGTGGCAATGTGAAGAACTGGTTCACCCACAACTATGATTTGCATAGTTAACTCTGTCAATAATCAATCTAGACTAGAGTACACAAGGGGATGTAGGCCTTTCTGTTTTCTTTCCTCACACTGACCAACTCCACTTTAACGTGAGCACTGCACAAGCAACTGTGAAAATAAACCACATAGTAACACTCTCAGGTGTTTTAACGCAGGTGCAACTCAACGTCAGGCCAGATAAGCGAGGCTTGCAAAATGTGCTTATTCACGTATATGCTTCCTCAGTTTTTCACACACTGTTCTGTTTATATGTACAGTGTACATTTAGTTGTACATTTACTTACTTTCTTTTATACAACACTTTAGTGGGAGGCGGTGTCAGGCAGTATGTAACATTTTATATCATAAATCTAAATATCAAGTATATTTTGGGAAATTTCACTGAGAAAACATTTATTTACAAAACGGATCGAGGTTTATATGAATCAAATGTCTTTACTAATCATAGTACATGTACATACTTGGCATGTATCGTGTAACAAAGTCTGACGGCTAACATTTCTCTCACAGTATAAAACAGCATGAACTGATCAGTGGACTGGGCGGCTGCTGAGCTGGAACTGGACTCACTGATTGGACTTATGGACTATAATCACATTTTCCTTAACTTCTGGCACAGTTCAATAAGCCTACATCTTGTTTAATTACATTCATTTTGCACTTAGACCACTTTTACAATCTACTTATTGCGCTGGGATCATCAACAACATTAACAACAGCAGCATGCACAGTAGTTTATTGTATAGCATTTCTATTTTATCCCTTTTTAAATTACATTACAGTGTCAAAACAAATGGAAAGAGGTTCATGCATCGAAATAACTGAGTCTACTGCAACTTCCGCGTTAAAACTGCCCATAACAAACCTGTCTAGTCTTGTTGAAGACCTCCAATAACTCGTTGCTAACCATGGCTGTTTTCTGAACTGGAATGTAGATAAGGAGACACGGCCATTTCCAGTCCTGTTAGCAGCGTTTGTACCGAAAAAAAACCTCACCAGCAGATTGAAACTATTCGTAGTCGCAGAATAAAGTTTGATCACGCCACCTCAAGCTTCCCATGTGACTTAAGAGACAAGTTTCCCCAATCTCTCTATAATGCTCCAGACTACTTCAAAAACACAAAAACAGGAAGAAAACAAACAAAAAAAAGGTGCCAATCCAGAGTTTCCATCCATTAATACCCCTGCAGCCCGGGACAGGACCCTGATAAGTTACATAACTGAATTCACCACGACTATCACCGACCAGAGAGAGAGAGAGAGAGATCACTTCGCTTATATAACGCGGCCGTCTAACATTACCTCTGTATTTGTATCTGTCGTAATCCATTAACAGCTACAGGCCGCGGTGGGGTCGGACCTAACCTAAAATGCGTGTATTTATACAATAACTGGCTGACTGAAACACCGGCACTACACACGTTACGGATGAGTGAGTGCTGCATCGACTCTGGTACGGCTCGCCATGAACTGTAGTAACCCCTCTCAGTCTCGACGGAAGAGAGAAAGAGAAAAAAACAAAAACTGTTAGCTCCGCCGTAAAACACTGCAACACTTCGCATATAATGTAGTCAAATGAACGCACACGCACACCCCAAATGGACGGCTCAGGTCTGTGTCGGAGTGTACGTGCAGTGTGGAGGTGATGAGCTGCATCGAGCAGCAGGCACAGAGCCAACACAGGCTCAGCTAGCGTCGCTGCTAGTTAGCTACTGTCAACAACTGAGCTCACTTTCAACACCACAACAACAACAACAACAACAAGAAGAAGAAGAGGGGGGGTAAAAGCAAACAGCCTGGTATTAACACCGCAACGTTAAGACCCCAGCGTTACACATGCGTTCAGATACCCGCAGATAGCGTTAAGTTAGATTAAAACAAAGCCACTAAATCCCAACTGTAGCCTGGCTTAGCTATGGCGTCCGGCCAAGACTTTTAGGAAGAAGAAATAAAAAGAAGAAAAGGAGAAGCTTACACTTGAAGGACGATGTTCGCAATATGTACAATGGTTTCGGGGTGCTTTTCGGGTCGGATATCGACCATTTTAACTCGGCACCGCCCGAGTTAACGGTCCTCTCGATGGAAGCGCCTCACACTCAGAAGATGCGGCCGATCCGCTCATCTCACCTCGCAGCCATTACCCCAACACTGGGGAGGATGGAGCGGGCATGCGCAGTACAGCCTGTCCCATTCAACGCCTGGGAGGTCGAGCTAGTTTGGTTGTTTGGGAGTGCACTTTTTAGTAGTTTGATAGGGATTGTTGTCCATACTACTACTACTAATAATAATAAATTATATTTGTAAAGCACTTTTCATAAGAAAATCTCAAAGTGCTACAGAAACCAAAACAAAGTAACAGAAGAGACACTAAGGGAAATAACACATGAAATATCAGTAACAAATAAAAAATACAAGTGATACTAGGCCTGGATGTTTAGATAGACTACTCTTCTGTGAATTGTGGTAATTTATATTGTAAATATCTTTACAATAACTACAAATACTTTAATAATGATTTTTGTTACAAACTCCAGATATACAAACAACATATATTATACAAGCAACATCTATTAAGAACAAAATATAAATATATATATATAACTATATATATATATATATATATATAAAAGATATATAAAAGATCACATTTACATTATCCTTATCTTTATTCATTTATATTTTAAAAATTACTTTATTTTTGTGTGATTTAAATGCACCAAGGCAAATTCCTAGTACCTGTAAAAACGTACTTGTCAATAAACCCAATTCTGATTCTGATTCTGGTTGTAATAAAGTTTACAGTTGGGATACGATGGTGGAGGTTAGTCACTAAACTTTAGTTTTGCTTGTTCTGTTCAAGGCAAGGGAGATTGTAGTATTGTCAGTGTTTAGGTGATAATGCATGTTGTTTTAATTTACTGTATGTATTTGTACAATATTTGTTAATGTATATTTCATTATGGACTCCAGGAGGAGTAGCAGTGACACCTAATGGGGATACAAATGAACAATAAACACTGTTTTTTATAAGCAAGCAGGATGTCACATTTAAAGTATTTTAATAGGAGATGTCAGGTGTAAACTATGACCCCCATCTCAGTCACAGGACCAGAGATGGTATATTTAAGTGCCCACAGACATCTATACAACACAATCACGATTAAACAATTAAAAACAAACAATAACAAACAATCAAAAACATTACTAACAGTCTGCACAGACTGTCACTCAGGTGTATTGGTGCTCGGACCTGTAATTCAGATAAGATAAGATATACTTTATTGTTCCCACACTGGGGAAATTCACTTGTTACAGCAGCTCCAGATGTGTAACACAGCAGATACGAAAGAAAAAAAAACACAATAGAAACAATAGAAAATAGAAAAAATACAAGATATCAAGAAAAAAAAACTATAATAACTATATACAGTATGGTTATACTCATTGGATTTAAAGTTAAATTATAATGCACATGTTACAGAGGGAGGTAGTGGCATATTGCAGGGGTGGGTGCAAAATGTAATAATGTAAATGTAAATGTGAATTTAAATCCCCTGTACAGAATGAAGTGTGTATATATTATATGCCCCGTATTTCCTGATTGAATTAGCGTTATAGGCAACAGGGTCTATATACAGGTGGAAAGTGCAAACACAAAACCTTTCGTATCCAGGCAAATTCCTCGTACGTGAAAACGTACTTTGGCAATAAACCCGATTATTTTAGTCATAAATCAGAGAACATGTCTAAAGCATAAAATAAACCAAACTTTTTTTTTTTTTTAATTATTATTATTTCTTGGGGGCTTATTTTGACAGGTCGGCACTGGAGGATAAAAATAAATGGAAACTATTACTTAATCGATGTTGTGTTAATCCATTAAAATATGGTCACTATGGTAACAAAGCTTTCTCCTCTACGTCACTACCGGCAGATTTCGGGACGCCAGGAAGAACAGAGTGTGCGCGTCTCGATGAATGAAGCCGAACGCCAAACTTCACTCATTCATTCAACTTTTCGACGACGTTTGACAGTGTTCGCCAAGCGTTACCTGTTAGCTCGCCCGACCAGGTGAGCATACCCGAGCCGCGTAGCTTAGTCAGCTAACGCCAGCTAGTTGGTTGGCTACCTCGCCTGTTTACATTGTTGCTAGTCAATGTTAGCCATCTCATGCTAAAAATATCAACATCAGGCACAGTCAGTGTCTGCTCTGATTAGGTGGCATTTGGCCGCTGTGTCCCGAAATAGCGATGTCATGTCCCCCCCCCCCCTGTGTTTCATTATGAGCTACTTTATGTGTTATTGCTCGAGTTGCAAGCCGTTGCAATGTGGCACCCTGACAACCTCTCCTGTTACTCTGCCATTCCCTCCTCTCTTCACCAGGTGTGCGTGTGCATGTGTCTTCTGTAGCTGGAAGGAAATATTCTGCTTGAAAGCGTGTTGCACTCGTCTGTGCGCGTGCATTACGTCACTCCAGCTGCACAGAGTGCATGTGTGTGAGGAGCCCCGTGTGTGTGTGTGCCATTGTCCGGTGTCAGTGATCATAAAGTGGGGAGGTCAGGAGTACTCCATCAGTTCTCTGTCTGAGGAGGACACGGTGATGGGACCTGAAACAGTCCATTAAGACCTTGACTGAGTGCTGCCAGAGAGACAGAAACTACTGGGACTCAAGGTCAAAGGTGAGAGGCGTCAGGGGATCACAAGGTGTGTAATAAGTGGGGGGAGGTAGTTAAATAATGCCGTAAGATATCTACAGGAAGGAGGGCAAGTGTCAGACTTATACACCTTTGCTTTACTGTTAACAATGTGTCTGTAACTTCTCTCCTTGCACTGAATACACTTCGGATCAAATAAATCCACCCTACGTTTCCTCAGGCTTTGGCTATGTTGATCCACATTCATAATTATCTGATGCTGTTCATTTCTCAGCCTGTTAATTGCTTCAATGTCAATTTTCTCCATCTGTCTGTAGCCTGTAATTGATTTCTAGTTCATGTATTTTATTTATTATTATTTATCATTATTATTTTAGCTGAGTGAATCTCGCTGTTGCTTCTTTCATCCCTTTCTCTCTTCATTCCTTCCTCCAGGTAAAACTGCAGAGGATGAGGCTGAAGCTGGGCTCTTTGAAGCTCAAGCCCAACACTAAGATCATGATGATGGGTACCAGAGAGGAGAGACTGGGTAGGGTGACGGGCGGTGATAGAGAAAATTAACTTTACTCTAAAGATATCTTGAGTGATGTGTTGTGAGGTGAAGTGAAGGCGGCGTTCCCATCTGAGATCAGATTTATTTGTTTTCTTATGATTTATAAATACGATCCAGAAACATCTCACGATCAAGCATGGCGAGACTTCCAAAACATGGTTCACTACAAATAAAACGTTGAGTACACGTGTAATGTGGTTATGTTTTTAATGTTTTTACATTATGTTAAGGTTTTTATAATGTCAAATTATAGTAGTCTGGAAATTATAAGGTTCAGTATAATTACCCTGAATAATTTGAGTGACATGTGAGCACAATACCAGGTTATAGGTCAAAACATTGCTAAATTTGGCTCATTTATACAAGCCAGAAGTGGTACCAAATAAAGGAGCGCTAAGGAGCCTAAAGAGTCCGGTTCTTGTTGCTGAGCTGAGCCAGATCATCGGGCTGGAAATTCCCATCACTAATATCTGGTTGAGATCATGACTTAAGGACTAGTTGCTCAGTGAACTGGCTTATGAGCCTGAGTGACCTTGCTAATTTCCAGTTTCACCAAACATTATAGCTACTGAATAGAATACAAAAAAGCCATGTTATTGTACTATTTAAGACTTTGGGTCACTAAACCAGCTTTAAACAACTGTCAACAAGTGGGTTTGTTTTGGGTGGATGGTCCGTGCTCGCTGTTGACTACAGTGTTGTCATGTTTGCAGCCTTAATTAACTGTGTTGTGTTCGAAGTTCCCCTTGGCTGACTGGCACACTTAACACATAACTGTGTATGTGTTTTGTTTTTGAAGGAAGACGTTTTAGCCCCTCCCCCAGAGAACGATGACGTGGTCAATGATTTTGACATCGAGGAGGAGGTCATTGAAGTGGAGAACAGGTTACATATTTTATGTCATATCATACGTGTGTCTGTGGTTGTATAGAAATAGCTGACATTTGTGAGAGGGCATGAGGAAAACATTATGTGTGTGTCTGAGAAAGAAATGTTCTATGGTCTTTGTCCCTAGAGAGGAAAACCTGGCTAAAATAGCCCGCAGAGTGAAAGACTATAAGGTGGAGGAGCTGAACCCTCCCAGAGAAGGAAAGAGGCTCCTGGTACTGGATGTGGACTATACACTGTTCGGTGAGTTACAGTGATGCCAACATTTGTCTCTTTAAGAATTTGTCTGGGAAACCACTGACTGTATGGCACATTAAATCATAGCATGCTAATAGTAAGCACTGTAAGTTCACTTACAAACAGTTACTAATTGTACATTACTTCAGTACTGCCTCTCCACTTTTTCTTCTCTTCATGTGTGCACATACATATGTTATATGGGTGCAATTTGAGCGAGAGAGGCTCATAGGGTTCAAAATAGTTAGTTAGTTAGGTAGTTGGTAGGACAAGATGCTTTGCAGAATATAAATTCATCACGGTTTGTTAGCCTATCAGTTGCTAATTTAAGCTAGGACTCTAGGTATGATGTCTGTCCCCTGTGTGTGTTTAGATCACAAGTCGTGTGCAGAAACGGGTCAGGAGCTGATGAGACCATACCTTCACGAGTTTCTAACATCAGCCTATGAGGACTATGACATTGTCATCTGGTGTATGTATCTTCTCTTCTCTTCTCTTCTCTTCTCTTCTCTTCTCGTCACTTCTCTCCCCTTCTCTTTCTTTACTTCACTTATATCTTATTTACTCTCCGGCATTTTACAAATACACTTTCTCTCCTCAGCTGCGACAAGTATGAAGTGGATTGATGCCAAAATGAAAGCAAGTATTTTACTTTTTTTGTGTTGTCTTAAATGCATTATTTACCATTACTGCACTATACCCTTTTCTTGCCAAAAGGTGGCAGTGTTTATCAATTTAACCTACAGTATTTGGGTTTAGAGGGGAACAGAAGGTAACACTACTGCCTGTGTGTGTTTGTGTGTTTAGGAGCTGGGAGTGACGGACAACGCTAACTACAAGATTACGTTCATGTTGGACAGTGCAGCAATGATCACTGTACACACCCCTAAGAGAGGGGTCGTGGAGGTTGGTGCACACACAGCTGTTCATACTGTAAATGAAAGTATTGTCCCATTTCACTGCTGCAGTTAGTCAACTTTCAAAGCAGAAGAAAACATTTATAGTTATTTATTGTCCAGTAAAGTTTTTTTCTTCTGTTCACCTTTTGGATTATGCCTTATTCGTGCTACACTTAACACTGCCTTTTTACAGTGGTTTTAGATAAAATCACAGCATGTGTAGTGAGGACAGAACTATAAAAAGGGGAAAATATCAGTTTTTGGTATTAACTCTACATGTAACAACAGTATAAAGATATATACAGCATAATGTCTGTCAAATATGGTATCTAACTCAACAGTGGTAGGGGCTGTTTCCTGCATAAGGTGAAGAGCGATATTTGCATTTGCTTTGTCTGTTTGATCATATTCTGGAGAGCCCTCCTCAGCTGTAGGTCTGACTCCATGTGGGTTGAGTGACACTGTTGTGCTGGCGGTGACGAATCGGTTTGAGAAAGGGCCACACGCACAGAATGAACACGTCTCTTCATGGATGTTTTGGCTGAGGTATGTTGCTTTGTGAGAAAGTGATCGATATAATGTATACTGATATAATGTGTTTGATGTCATTCACGTTTCCAGGTCAAGCCCTTGGGTGTGATATGGGGGAAGTACGGAGAATTTTACAACAGGAAGAACACCATTATGTTTGATGACATCGGAAGAAACTTCCTCATGAACCCACAAAATGGACTAAAGGTAGGCGGCCAGCATCTATATAATTTTTATTATCATTATTTTGACCCTCTCCTTCCTCCTCATTGTCAGCGTTATGCACACATATTGCTGAAACCTATATGTGTGTGTGTGTTTTAGATCCGACCCTTCATGAAGGCCCATCTGAACAGGGAGAAGGACAGGGAGCTGTATAAACTGGCTCAGTACCTCAAAGAAATTGCCAAACTTGAGGACTTTAGTGGACTCAACCACAAACACTGGGAGAGGTAGGCACACATATGCTAAACAGTAGTTAGTGACATAGTGCATGTTTGAAGCACCTTGGATTTCCTTTTGCAAGACAAATATGCCAGCATAGCTAAAAATGCAGACATAATGTACATCCAAGAACACACACATTCTCTGAAATTAATATAAATCCATAGAAATATGTCTAAAATATGAAACGTGTGTGTGTGTAGGTACCTGTCTAAGAGGCAGCACCACTGAGGAGGGAGCGCAACCTCAGCAAAGACTTGGGCTGGATGCTACCATCCCATCATTGAGTTCTCAAACACACAACCTTGGCTATTACAAGTCCTTCATTTTCAAACCTTATAACAGATCCTACACTAACCCTAAAGCTACTGACACTCAAAAGCTCAGGACTGAGATGGGCTTCCCAATTTCTATATTTGCATGTTCTGTCTCTCCCCAATCTTGCACATTTTTTTTCAAATATTGCATTATACAATAATAATGGCAGTCACTATCAGTCAGTGTGGTAATTGTAAAGTACACCTGTGCAGGTTAAAAAAAACATCTCATAGGTTTGGGGCTGCATGCCATGAGCCACCGTGACCCACAAACTTCTACATACTGTACCTGCTTCAGTCAGGTGTCTAGACTACATCTTGAAATCCACAGTTAAAATAGTACCTGAAAATATCTGAGATCTTTTCAACCTACTTGGTCCTTCAGATGGGTGGGGTTTACAGCATTTTCCCAGCATTTTCTATGTAGTGTGAAGTTGAAAATTCAACAGGAAATAATTCATAAGAGCAAGTTATAAGTATCTAAAACAATAGTTTAAGAACTGAGGATATATCCACAATTACAATTTTAACTGCATCTGGCAAGTCCATTCTGTGCAAATTGTAGTGATGAATTAAAGTTTAAAGTTGGAATGGAAGAATTTGTTGAGAACAATGGTCTAAATCTAAATCGCTGAGCATCAAACTGATGTCTGCAACCTACACAATTTGATAATGTGCAATAAGCCTCAAAGCTACTGTTACATTAAAGATTCAGATCGAAACTTGTAGCATAAAATCCTTATATCAAAACAATTGACTGTAATGTGCATATTTTGATGGAAAACCTGTTTGTATGCAGGGGTCACTGGACACAGGTTTGTGGGTTGGAGGATATCATACATGTATAATGTGTACATGCATAGTACTGTAGGCACATAGATGGTCAGGTTTCCATGGGTGGATGGGTGTCCAAAATGTATTTCCATTGTTACATACCAGCTCTGTTGCATCGCTGGACGCACACACTCAGATACACGTAAAGGATCAGTTCTGTTATTTGTTTTTTGATGCAGAATTCATTAGTCTGTGTTTTGTTTAGAGCTTTTATTGAACTGTTTTGGTAAATCAAAATGTCAATGAACAAAGTGGGGATGGAGAATGAGGGAAACTGACAACACATAATGTGCGTTTTACGTTTTTTTTTGGTAGCATCTTCATTAATGTGTTTGCACTTATTGTCAATGTTTACTTTAAGTTATGGACGAAGATGGGGAAGTGTCATAGGAAAGTGTGCCCCATGTTATGAACAAGTAGCACCCGAAGCTTGTGGAAACATCAGGGATGTGATTTGTTTTCAGATTTTGTCAGGTTTACAGCTCTCTTGGACATTCAACTCCTTCAAGTCAGTTCTTGAGATGATTTCTTGAGATCTGCCTTTTTGTGTTTTCCTCATCACATCCCTGACATCCTGGCTGTAAATATGACAATAAACCGTTTTTTTGTACCTAAATTGCCTGTATTGTTCATTGTTCCTTAAGTCATTTAAAAGGAGTAGTCACAGAATATCTCTTTTTTTTCCTATCCATCACAATTAATGACCAAAAGACCAAAAAGTGCTGTAAATGAACATTTTTAATGTCATGTTAAAAAACAGCAAAGAAAATCTGCAAGGATAGTTATAAATAAGAGTTACAAAGGGCATAAAGGAATGAGTAACTGATTTCAGTCATATTACAAATAACAATTTTAACAAAATACAGTATTTCCAAAGAGACAACCTAAATCAATAAATACTGTACAGATATACTATCTAAAAAAGAAAAAGATTTTGAGAATTAAAAATCAGGATAAAAATGTTTTTTTCAATCCTTGTGTCCGTCCTTCCTTTCTGACTGCAGTCCAGCGTAAGACGTTAGCAGGTCACAGTATTTTTCACTCTGGAGGCAGAACAGGTTGGAATTAATCAGCTTGGATCAGATCAGTGTCGGTGGCATGACTTGATATTATTTGGAGAAATCATAAACTCACACACATTACATCTAACAAACCCAGTCAAAACCATTTTTACTCCCAATGTTGCGAGCGGTATACTTACGTGCAGTGGCTCCAGTGACTATACAGCCCCATGGTGTGTTTGTCCCGAGCTCGCACACAGAAAACATATCTCTTGGTTTTCACATTGACCTCAAACTTAGTTTCAATAATGTTTTTTTGTTCCTGCACAAGAAAAGAGGCAACATATTAACTACAAAAATAACTGTGGTTAAACTGGACATCAGGAAATGCATTTTTTACAGTAGCTAAATGTAACTTGAATCTGATCTCCATCATGAATGGATCATGGAATCTTACCAGTAAGAAATCGTCACTGTGACAGGATTGTCCATTAGGGACCACCTTGACCTCGAACTCCAGGCTGAAGTACGTTTCGGGCTTCTCCCAGGAGTCAGGGTAGTTCCAGCTGAACACAGTCCCGTCAATTTTGTGCAGGTTAGGGAGTTTTGCCGGCCTCACTAAATACAGTGAGGAAGAAGAGGAATTAGGTGGAGAAAGATGTCAGAAAGGAACTATTTGCAACACACACGGGTCAAAAAGTAGTTGCCAAATATATCAGGAGCAATTCTGTTTGTACCTAAGTAGATACCTGAGACATTAAAACACAGTCACTTACCAATATCTCTCAGGTGGAAAGTCTTTGTGTAGGCCTCTAGACGACAGTAGCTACGCATGTAGATGGTGAGGGAGATTCTGTGTTGTTCTTCTTTGTAGGGACAGCTGGAATCCTGGCAGTGAATCGCTGATCCATTAGCACTCAGCTCACAGGGAATCCTTTCCAAATTACTAAATTGAAGACAAGCTGGTTGGTACAGTGCAACTATCTAGGATACATGGTCAATTCTAAGCGAGTAAGATGAGTGTTTTGTGAGAAATTTTGTTCTCACCGCTCTGCCTTCACCAGGAGCACAGTTGCGTCGGATCTGGAGCTTGTTCTTGTCCAGGTGCAGTGGAAGGAGCCGTTATAGTTAAGTGCTGAACAGTGGATGTGACCTGGAGGAACAGAGACACTGCTGAGTTATAATGTTATTGCGAAAATCTCCCTTTTGTGCTTCAGTGCACTCTCTTTTGAAGGTCCCAGCATTTAAACATCAATTAATCAAGCAAGATCGGCGAGATTCATTTCAGAACATTCATTTAATTACTGTGAACAAGCCAGACAGCTGAGGGGAGTATTGCAAGCTTCATAAAGCTTCACTATATTTAACCTTTTGTTCCATGAAATCAGGCATAAAAAACCCATTTGCCTTATGGCACAAAACTGAAGAAAGGATTATGTTTTTTCAGTACAAACAGTGCCGAAGCATTCAGAGCTTTCACTGGTTATCACAGTTTGTGGCAAAAGACCTAACTTAAAAAAAAGTAAATCAAAAGAGGCTTTGATCAAGGAAAGAAAATACTTATGGGGACTAGAAACAAGAAGTTTGGTCTCTTTTTTTGAGAACCAATAGCACAACAACATGATGATTGGTATGACATAAAGTCTGCCTGTGTCAACCACAAACTACATGAAGTGTTTTTTATGGTACAGCAAATACAAGTATCACCATCCAAGTTATACACTGCTATTCTCTTTTTCCTCTCTGTATTTCTCCCTATTTCTGTCCGCATCTTCCCCTCATTACTCAACCTCTGATCTTCTGTTTATCTAATTTCCTTTTTTCATGTTCCCCACTGTTCGTGTTATCTTTTGGATGTTGTCTGCTTCTGGGCCACAGCTCGCTACATCTGTCTATTTTTTCCCCATCTCATCTCCCTCTCTCACCATCTTTTGTATCTCAGCTATTCAGTGACATCTATCATAAATCTCGTCCAGTGAAATACCGCAAGCCAGGTCCAATGACACAACAAATCTTTATCACTTTCTGTTTGTCTTTTCTCTCAATGTGTACCTCCTTTGTTCTGTCCCTTTCTCATCACTCCCTCCATCTGTCTTATCGTACCTTCTCTAGGGGATATTTCTTCCAGCATGACACTCCCATTGTTTTGGTCTAGTTGGATCAGGATCACAGTGTGGTTGAGATATTCTCCGTCTGGGCCGAGGTGACATGTGTAGTTCCCTCCATCCATCTCCTCCACCAGGACAGTGACCTGGTTCCCCTGCAGAGCTGGCTCAAGCTCCATGCCTGAGACAAGGACATGATGTCAATGCTTCAAAGTGACATAAAAACAAGTTTTTTGTAATCTGTTTTTTTAAGATTTATTAGTATTGTATGGTATTGTACCCAACATACTAGCACAGGTACTCTTAAAAATACTAGTGGTAGTAGAAGTAATATCACTAGTAGTATTAGTAACCGTAGTAGTAATAGTTGTATTACCATCTTTCTTCCAAAACACAGGCTGGTTTTGATAAGCTTCTCCACAGGTCAGAGGAACATACACACTGCTGCCCTCTCTCTTGGGCACCCTCAGGACCAGAACTAGTTTAAAAAAAACACGCACAGTTACACACAGACCAGCTTGAATCATTGAAACATTTATGCCCACAGGTATGTGAGGGGAAGAAACAAATGGAAAAAAGAGGAATAATAAGTGGAGAAAGGAGGTGTTACTTACCATTATCCATTAGAGTCTCTATTCTCACTTGGTTGCTGTCCGAGCTGGACCAGCACAGTCCAGCACACAGGGCTATAAGGAGCAATACACGCATCTGGAAGAAGAGACAATAAGGTAGGTACATGGACTGGAACCTACCTACTGGAACCTGGAACACTGGAACTGGTTTTAATATCCTATAAGGCGAGACTTGTATGAAGAGTATAAGNNNNAAAAAAAAAAAGTGACCCTTTTTTCCTTATTTTATTTGGATTATGTTTAGGATGCTGAACAAGGCAAATTAGCCACTGATTTACAAGAAGAAAACCACAAAACAGCAGAGAGATGGTTTAACTGCTTTCCTCTCCTCTAAAGCATCTTGAGACCCCTAAGATTTATCTCACAACTCCTTCTAGGGAACTGAAGTAAAGCATATAGCTGTGTTTAAATTCTACTTGTAGATATCAGTTGGAGTATTGAGTCAGTAATATCAATGTCTTTCAATGAAACTCTAACTTAAAAAGAGTCTAATGACACAAATGTTATTCATTAGAATGATTATCTACTGAATAAAGTGTTGGAGAAAAAAAAACAAATCAGGAGAATTAACAGGAGATGAGTTAGTATATCTTACCTTGTCAGCTGGACTTGATCCAAGAAGAGATAATAAGCACACCAGAGAGGTAAGATGCCTATGCTGATTGTAAGTTCAATCTGTCTGCATGGACTCAGCACGCTGTATTTATGCAGTCCAAAAGCAGAAGGTTAAAAAGCCCGAGAGGAAATACCTCATCTGTGTGTGTGTGTGTGTGTGTGTGTTTGAGGTCTATTACCTGAAAGTGTGATGATGTAAGATCACGATCACTCAGAAAGACCAAAGCACAATTTTAATTATTATGAAGCAGAGGAACAGATCACCATAATTTCTTCATTCATCATCTGCTTTGTCTTTTTTTGTCTTTTGTTCACCTCGATTTATGCATTCCAAGAGGAAGATGACAACTGCTGAGGACAAAAGAACAATTCATATTAAACCATATTCCATTACGAGGATGCATGTGGAGGAAGTCAGGACCACAAGAAATACAAAAACCTTGGAAAGGGAACTGGAAAAATTCAAGTGTTTGCACATGATTGAAAACTGAAAAGGTACCTTGGAAAATTGGTCATGAGAGTTCACAGGAACAAGAACAAGAACAAGAAAGAAAAAAGTGTGGAGGGATGACAAGTCCATTGAAATGGAAAAGAGAATTGAGTCAATGGGATGAAATAAAAGAGAAACCCTTTTGAACAGAAACATCACAGGTCACTACTGTGAACAAAATGTCATTTGGCCATTTAAAAAATCCAAATGTGTAATTAATACATTTGGGAAGTTACCTGTACGATGATTTATGGAGGAGTTTCCATTATTCATTCCATTTCAACCACTAACCTTTAATTATGCCAGTGTAGGTCTATGTGTAAAGATAGCCAGCAGACCATTTCCTGTAAGTACACTACTAACTTAATTATAGTTAGAGGTGGAGGTCGTTAGTTTGATTCAACATCGCTATGTGTTTATGAAAAAGAAAAAGTGATAGATGACTATTGTTCAAGGTTGGTATGCTTTGTGGTTTCAGACAAACTCACCTATGTACTGATGTTTTTACTAGCATGCTGCTGGGAAAGGAAGTGCTATTTATTCTCATTCATTGCTTCTTTGCACCTCAGTAATGCCATACATATATACTTATACAATTACAAACTTCAACACACTCTTGATACAATCCGTAAAACTGAAAAATAATACTATATTGGGATGGTGTGCACTGTGAACAGAGTCATTTTAATCCAGTAACCGCAAGCAGGTGTGTACAAAGGTATTTCCCAGAAAAAACTTGCTGACCTGTTTCAGATTGCAGGGCAACTATGAGAACTAAGGACTAAATCTAATGCCACAATGACCATATTGTATCTACTTCCCCTCTGCCTGTCACTTATATAACATGACCTTTCACATTCAACAGCATCAAAGTGGGTCATTAACTCCTCTTCTTCCTCTACATTTACACACAAGAACTTATTTTTCACAAGTTTAGTGATAGCTTTTTAACAGACAGGTTAGTTCCTTCCTCATTCCATCGCTGGTTGAACAACGTTTGTTTAATAACTCTAAATCTGGGACCAGTCGGCAGCAACTGTTTCAAACACTGTTTACATTGGCAACTTCTCTCTGGAAGGCCTCTTTGCATCAAAGGAATTTTCTATGTTCAGTCTGGCTTGAATGAGTAGATTTAAAAGGAAGTTTAATAAGGAAAGGAGGAAATCAAAGGGGACGCTGGGATGCTATAAAGTATTATTGCTGTTAAAACAAGAGCCCAAGCTCTAAATCAGCTATGCCCATATTAACACGCTTAACATATTAATCAGCATATATGTCTCCAATGTCACATTTTTTGAAATTTGCTTAGTTGCTTTCTTGCAGTGAGATAAGATTGATGCTGCTTTTTATAATTAGCTTAGCATAATGACTAGAAGCAGGGGGGAAAAGCTTGCCTGGCGGTCCAAAGGTGAAACAACCCTTTAACCACCTTTAAAATTAACCTTTATGTGTTGAAACAATTACTTTGACAGGCTAGCATGTTGCCGCTAGTTTCCTGGTGATAACAAGATTTTAGGACATTGTTACAACATAGAACTCCCCATAAACACACAACCGCTTTAACATTTTTGGTTTGTGAATTAAACAAACAAGATTTTAATGTTTTAATTAGTGAACATTAGAGGTGCTGCAAGGATTATCCTAGAAAAATGTGGGGTGAAACTAAGTTGGATGAATATGATTTATGTAGATAAAATGTTGTTAATGCAATCGTGTTTACCTTTAATTCACTAAAATTCATCTTGGATCCTCCTTGTCAGTTTCCTACCCTATCATTGGTAATGACCATTGACCAAAATTGGGGTGGTGGCAGTAAACTTTTCTAGCTTCTGAAGGGGGGAATTCTCAATAAAAACATTTATTCTCAAATATCATTTATTCTTGTCTCTTCTGATGTGTTTTGAACTTGGAATGGGAATTATAATGTGTACTTTTACAACACGTCACAAGATAACATTGGCATCATGAAAGAGGTGAATGTGTTTAACTGTATTTTACATTCCTTAAACAAATCCTGATATTTTTTTAAGGAAAAGGGTAAACATGTCTTCAATAGGACAATACCTTTTCCATTGGCGGAATCACATATTTATGGCCTCCATTACAATGTCCTTTCTTTATAGATCTGAGATATAATGTTTTTGCCTTTTTAACCTTATAAGCCATAAACAGACACTAAAAGACTAAGACAATGTGTTATAATTTCTGTCCCAGCTCTACATCAAACCATGAAAATGTTCAAAGCAAACAATCAGACAGAGACCGGGGAATAGAAACAATGATCAATTTTAATTAAAAACATTCTATTTTTAATCAAAATATGCAACTGTGTTTCGGATGTTCCATCCTTTTGCCACATGAATAAGTGTGGTTGTGTTTTGAACATACATATATGAACATCCACGCACACACGCTTATTCACACACACACACACACACACACACACAGGCCGACAACTTAATGTTTATTACATGATTGCTCCGATTGTTCTGTGAAGCAGGATCAAATAAAGCGTCTAATCCAGCGGCAGCTTGGTAAAACATTGTCACGACCCCGACTGCAACCTCTTGACAAGAGAGAGGACACATCTGTTTTACTAGCTAGCAATACGAACCTTTCTTTACAGCTGTTAGCATACTGACTTAATCCCCAAGTGAGGAAGTGATTCCCGATTTGATTCACATTTAATTAAAAATAACTGCCTGAATAACTGTCATGACTAATTGATTGATCTCTTCTTTCTAAACTGCCTGTGTTGAACATGTATGTAATGAAAGTGTATGTATAACCCTGTAGCCTCATAAACAGAATTCTGCTGAGACTCAAAACAGAACCCGAAACACAGAAACATTCGAACATCAGTGTTGCTATGAAAACCCTTTAAGCCATCATACAAAGTTCTCTTTTCGTTGTTTGGTTTCCATAGGAAGAGTTAAAAAGACTTCAAAAAGGTCAAAATTTCAACGTGTAAAACCAAAAGGAAGAGTCTTTTCTCAATTCAAGAGTCCTTTTGCTCCAGCAGCCAGCCAAAGTCTGCTCAAACAAAGCCCTTCTCAGCAAAAATAACAAGAGAAGAGTGCAAATCAAAAGAGAAAAGTCAGAATCAACTTTCATTCTTTTTTCTCCCTTGTTATCGTCCTCCTTTTATACTGCCACTTCCAGGCTGCCAGGCTGGGGGGAGTTAATTCTCCACTGGCGTTGGTTCCGGTGGCAGTGTGGCCACTGCTTCCATGGCCACTGGCCCAGAGGCCTCTGGTGTGTGTCCTGGTGTTGATACCGGCTCTGGCGGCGGCGGCTGGCTGAGGATGACCTGCACTACATAGTCCCTGGAGATGTTGAGTTGGTCCAAGCGCAGCCTGTCTGTCAGTGGCCGACCTGAGAAAAACCAGCGTTGGGTTGCAGCAGGTACACCCTCGTGACTTTGTAGACGACGCTTCATCATGCCCACTGTGTCCGTGGAACGGACAGCCAGCCGGAGGTCGCGGCCCGTGGAGAGCCGGAGCCGGAGCTGGCACTCCCCTCCTGAAGCGGGGTCACTGGCACCTGTGGACGGGTCTGCGGCCCCGGAGTCCGGATCTGAACCGTCAAGCTCTTCAGAGCGCTCTTCAATCATGTTGACGGGAGGAGAGAGGCAGTAGACTGGCAGCTGGTATCGATTCCCCAGTTCATCATAACATTCAGTCAGAGCTCCTGAAAGAGTGGGAAAACAATAGTTTTGGCCATGATTCCCAACAGTTATGACAACATTTTAATCTTCAGCTTCATTAAAAAGTCTGGTGGGCCACAGCACATTTGTATGCATGGTATGTCATGTGATAGGAATCACATACTGGGAGCTATAAACCATCATCTGCAGCAGGTTACTTACTGCTGTTTAGTACACTAGGTAAATGTTTAACTGGGAAGTTCCAATACAAAGCAATTAACCACTACAGTGAACATTTTGGGTAATCCCGCAACTTTTCTGTATTGCTACTTTTTTTTAAATATTTAAATAAATGTGTTATTCGTATATTTTCATTATTGCATTCAGAAACTGAAAGTCAAAGGATGACTTAAGTTTTCCAACTAACAAAGCCAAAGCCTGACTTCCAATTCACCTTTCGCTATGGCATAAAGAAATGGAGAAATGAGAGTCTGACTCAAAAGAAAAGAAAATTAATAGAGTGAAAGCGGGAGTAAAGGGAATGCTGTGTGTCTGTTGAAGTACTACATAAGATGCACTATGTCACCACTGTGATTCAGACACTAAAAGAGTGAGAGGGAATAAAGCAAGCTGTAGAGAAGAGGTCATGTTATTCCAGAAACAGAAACTTAATATAGTTGTATTTAGGGTGGGGGGGCCCCTAAGGGAATTTCAGACAGCCCACCCTTCCCTGCACAATAGTTTAACATCACTACTGTCAAACCTGAAAACACCAAGTAATTTAAGTGCAGCAATGGGTGTTTTTAAACACACACTTGCCTTCGTTTTTTTACCCTTATGAGTAAAAATTGAAAACAGCCAATTTGTCCCCAACGCTTGGTGTTTGAATAGTTTAGAAAAGAATGACATTTCCCTTCACATTCTTAAAAAGTACAACCAAATAATTAAAAAGACCAGGGTACAACTCCTCACAAAAGCAAGAACACCTCTCCACACTCTTTTTGTAAATGGCATCTAAAATGGTCACTGCACCACTCTTGTGTTCTGACTTTTTTGACTAATTGAGGCACCAGCCACTTGCGAGGGACAGCAGGCGTTGTTGTAAGTAAGACTGAGATGAGCGAGCAGAGGCCCACAGAACGCTGCTCTCAGGCCTTTTGTGGTCAAGGTGAGGACATTAAGAAAACGCTTTGCCTTAATGTCACAGCCTACGAGAGTCAATATGAAAGTAAGAGAGTGAAGGTGAGAAAGTGAGAGCTGAACTTACTTGGTTTCTAAAACTAAAATAATAGGTAATATGGATTACAAGTACACTCACCAAAAACCACTTAGTGTGAAAAGAACTACAAAAGTGATTTCAACCCCATAACAACATATTACTCTATATTGTGAAATATAGCAGTAAATGCTTTTAACATGTTTATTACATTAAGGTAACATAAATGGAGTGACGCCTGTGGGCTGGTTCAGGCAGTCAACTTCAGCTGCACTGCTATACACACAAAAATGCAAAATTTCCCAGCTCTCCCTCTGCTCCGTCAATACCGCTGTTAGTATTTGTATTTGCTCATCACTCGCCAATATCTCTATGTACACATATCTGTGGGGAGGTTGGAGCCTAGACGCCAAAATCTAGCTATGTTGTACTGCTGCAATAAACACTTCAAACGTGTGTTGTATGACTGAACTGAAAAATGACCATCTGCAGATAAAGCAGCTTCCTAACCTCAGATGTTCTTTAGGCCAGTTTAATTACATATGTATTAAAGTCCAACTGCAATCACATAGTCATTCCTTTTTGTACATGTTCATGTTTTGGTCCCTATGTACAAAGGCTGTGTCCTTACCACAACGGCCTAGGTTAATTCCAACCTGCGGCCCTTTGCTGCCTGTCTTCCCCCCTCTGTCTCTCCAGAGTCTCCTGTCTCTTGTCAGCTGCTCCTGTCTAATAAAGGTTATAAAGGCTAAAAAAAAAAATCTTTAAAAAAAGTTATTAAAAAAGAAGACCAAAAAAAGGTGTTTGGGGAAATATCAGAAACGCTCCTTTTTTGTTTCAGCTGGCTGGAGGGGCGTGTCAGACTACCGGTGTTACAAGAAAACAAATTTGCACTTTAGCCTATATGTCGCGTTTTTATGGTTCTGGAGAGTAAGGACCACACCAGCATCTAACTGGACCAAAGTGACATTTGCATGCTGTTTAATGGGCTGCAGCGGAGTAGCTAATTAGCTATCTAGCCTGTAAACTAATGTCAGCACTGTACTTTTTCCGGTGAATGTTTGTTTGGTCGCTTGTTTTAACAAGCTTAAATGCAGGACAAGACGTGTGCTCACATTTTTAAGTTAAATAATAAGACATAGGAAGTAACTAATGTGGGCTGTTGTTCAAAGTGTGGCTGTCTGGCTGTTCATCAGTGCTACTTCCTGACTGAACGCTGATGCTACTGTCTGTTGAGCCAAACTAATGGAAAACTAGGGGTCCGTTCATGAAACCACAAAATATAAAATCAAAATTTCTGATTAATTTCTTGAAGGAGTACAGAGGACAAATGCATGAATGTGCTGTAGCAGCAAAAAAAAAAAATCCTTTCATGTAACAGTGATGCACCAGCAGAGATAACTAAATGTGGGGAAGTCATCATAGCCGATGTCACAAAAGGCTAATATAAATACAAGATAAATGTTAGACATGGTTCACTGGCAATGTATAAACATGATTTGGATACGACTCTCAAGGTTTGTATATTTTACTTGCTTTTTTCTTCACCAGTTGGCTCCACCTTTGTGTTTATCCTTCAGCTGAAGAATGCTAATAGTTTCCAGGTGGTGTTAATGCCTTTGGTTGTGGGATTTCATTAAAGACAAGAGTTCGGATTGAAGGATGGGGGGGGGG